GTAAAACAATAATTGTTTTATGTTGCATGATTTTTTTTGGTCAAGAATTTGGGATGGGCTTGGCTGGGTGGTTCTCACTTGGAGTTTCCCATGCCCTTGTGGTCAGATGTCAGCTGGGTCATGGACTTTTGAAAGTGCACAGGGCCTACATGTGCATCCAAGATGGCGGCTCTCAGGGTTTTTGGCTGATGCCGGGAGCTCAGCTGAGGCTACAACAAGAGCACCCACCAGGGACTTCTTTGGCTTGACAGTCTCTGTGCTTTCCCTGGAATAAGTATGCTCAGAAAACCAGGCAGGAGCTGCATAAAGCAGTCACAAGCCTGCACAGACTCAAGGAAAAGTCATATATCCCATTTTTCATTGGAAAGAATATCAAGGAACAAGACCATTTTGTTTTTAAACAAATGGGAACAGATGAGAACCTCATTCTGATTGGTACCAAGACCCCATATTTGGAATGACTTGTCTGGTGCCTAGAAGCAAAGCAAGAAAAACAGAGTGTGAACTAATTATGATGAAGAGGATTTTTAAACAAATGCAAGAAGGTTCATCAGGTCACATGTAGCTTCATTTTCAATGTATTCACTTTGGAACCTCAAACACTGGTCCAGCATTGCTCCCATTGTTCAGAACATATCTAGAGCTTTCTGGGAAGTGATTTCAGGGCCAATTTAGCAGGTTCACAAGAAACATCAGGCTTAGAATTGTGTCAGCTATACCTTATTTCTAACCTAAAATGGCTTTTTGTAGTGTAACAAATATTTAGTGATCACTTGCTACAGAATGTTCTGGTTTCTGTGGATTCCTTGATGAACAAAACAATATCTCATTCTTCACTCGGCTTACATTTTGCTGGAGGATGCAAAAAATAACCAAATTTGTAATAACATCCACAAGTCATCAGTACTACAGATAATGATAGGCAATGAGAGGCGGGGGAAACTCTTTTAAAGGGAGTGGTCAGAAAAGGCCTCTCTGAGAGCTGACATCTGAGCAGAGAGCCAGGCAGATGTGCAAGGAAGAGAGAGTGTTCCAGAAAAGGAAAATGGTATGTCCAAAAGCCCTGAAGCCACACTGGTCTCAGATCTGTCTGGCCCACAGCAAGGAGGACAGGGTGGAAAGTAGGATAAACAAGGGGGGAAAGTGGCAGAGGAAGGGTGCACCTGGGGTTCACTGAGGACACAGAAGGCACTTAGGATTTTAAACTGAGATGAGATCCATGGGAAGATTTTGAGTGGTTAGTCCCATGCTTTGGTTCACATTTTTAAAGGATCCCCTGGCCACCAAGGCGGGGATGAAGGATAGAGTAGAAACAGGAAGATAGATTAGGAGTCTCCTGCAGTAAATCAGGCTAAAGGTGGTGACAACTTTGTTTGAACTGTCCTTGGTGGTGAAGGTAAGTAGGGAGTAAAAAGAGCAGATATTTTGAAGGAAGGTTCCATGAGATTTGCTAATGGACACACCTACCAGTTGATCCTTTAAACCCATGAACAAGGTATATTTCAATATATTGCTTAGTGGCTGCCCAAATTAGAGTGGGACCTCGACAGAGGTGGCAACTTGGGTGGCAGAAAATGAGAGACCCAGGCTACACCGGTTCCCCTCAAACACTAGCTGAGGATCTTGACCCTCACTGCACAGAAGGGGCAGAAGCTCAGGCAATAGCCCTTCCTTCTCACTCTCACTCTCTGGCAAGAAAGGTATGAGGAGAGTCAAAGAACAAACCACTAGTTGGAAAGACCCTCTCAAAAAAGGAGTTCACAGATAAGTCTAGAGCCTTCAAAGGGGGCTGCCAGGAGACACGCGAGCCCATTTGCATGGGCAAGTTTGGGTATTTCGGCCATTCAGTTGTTGACACGACTTGGTGGTCACAGCCCCTCCTTTGCAAGCCAGCGTTCTCTAAGGAGCCTTTTTTTGTCAAAAAGAAACCACCATTGTGTCTGCTTTGAGACAGATTTTAGGGGGAGTTTCATGCTCCATGAGCCTCAGTAGTAAAAGGGTCAAGGTGCCGCTTAAATACCACAAGTGGCCCAAGGATGGGATCAAGATGCAAACCCAAGCCTTATAATAGTGACTACTTTTCTTTTAATTTTACTTTGACAAGCACATCTGCAGCCAATTACAATGTGTCAAGCAATGTTCTAATCATTTTATAAAATGTTTAGGCATTTAATGATCCTAACAATCATATGAATTCAGTATCACTATTATCCTTTATTTAATAGTCAATACACAGTTACTGAGCATTTTATACATGAGAAAAGTGAGTCACAGAGAAGCTAAGTGACTTGTCTAAAGTCACGTCACACAGTCAAGATTAGAACCCTGGAATTCTTGCTCTGGAACTTTGGCACATAGGTAACATGTTAAGCTGCTCTACACTGTGCTTTGTTGGAAATCTCTATATGTATTAGAAATAATTTCAGCTGTAAATAAGAGACAATCCGAATTAGAGTGACTTAAACAATAGGACATGTTGTACATAACAAGAAGTCTGAAGATAGCCATCTGTCTTAGGCTGATGGAACAGTTCAACAACGCTATAAAAAATCCAGACCTTTTCTATCTTTGCTGCTCCACTATCTCAGTCTATTGACTTGTCACCTCATAATTACAAGATGGCTGCTGCACATCCAGGTATCACATCCAAGATCCAGGCAGGAAGAAAGGAAAACAGTAATAAGCTTCCTTTGCAATGGGCTTTGCCTTTTTCTTTAGAAAGAGACTCCCTCCTCAGCATACTGTTACTAACAAGACTGGGTAACTTGCCTGCCATTACCATATCTAGTTTAAACCAGTCACGATTCATCTCACCAGGCTGGGATAAGAGTCTGACTTCCCTGAGACCTGAGGTCTCCTGCCAACCCTTTGAACATATTGACATTCTGTACAGTGGGAAGCAATGGTTTTGAGGTAACAAGAGAGAGCATCTGCCATGGGTGTTAGTACCCCATGATGGGAACATTGCAGCTAGAAGGCACAAGGTTAAGATTGCATGACTGACAATATGGCAGCTCCAGAATACTAATGCAGGCCCATCTAGCTCTAAATCTCATTATTTTAAATGTAAAGTAATACATTGCTAAGTGGAGTCGAGAACGGATGGACACACATTTGGCTTTAAGCGAAAGTTGTAGCACCCCGAACAAGTTACTTAACCTCCCTAAAGCTCAATCTACTTATCTCTAAACTGTGGCTAGTAATGATGTGAACCAAGGGGCAGCTGTGAATGTAAAATGAAATAACATATGCAAAGGCCCTGACAATACTAAGCAATGAATAATTCTTGGCTATTTTTATTATTGTTGTCACTGCTATTATTACTTGTTACCCTACTAGACTTTGTAGCTACAGTGGCCTTGTACTCAGATTAGAATACCATTTTGGGAGTCTTTGGGCAATCTGGTAATGGCAGTCAGTAGTGGGTAGGCCTGAAAGTGAGGGGAGGTGTTCCATACAATACTAATCACAGATTTAAGAATCCTCCAGCTTGTCTTGCTTGAATGTCGTGAATCAAGGATTGATGCTTCAAAATACAGGTCTGCAGATCTACAAGGCACAATAGTTTAGTTTTAGCCTTGGTTCTGTTACTAATAAAATGCTGTTTGGTCAGAAGTATCTCATTTTTCATTTGGGGACCTTTGTGTTTTCATCTGTATGGTGAAGTGGTTTTTCCATTACTGGTATTCAGTGTGTAGTGGACACTAATTGAGCAACTATTATACTCACAGTGCCATGGAAGCCATAGAGGAGCAGTGATAGGGGATGTGGATCTCACACTCAGAAAGTTTAGAGGCTTAGGAATCTTCAGTGTTTCTTTCAGCAATAACATTTAATAACATTAGCCAGAAGGCAAGGCTAATAACCCCCGACCCAAAGATTTATTCTGCTATTCTGTGGGTTAATCATGTTAGTGACATTGTAACAAAAAAATCTCTGAATAAATACAAAAACCATATAGCTCTGGCAGTTTCCTAAGGAGCTAAACATAGTCTTACCATGTGATCCAATAATTGTGCTCTTTGGTGTCTGCCCAAATGAGTAGGGTTCGTGTTCCCACAAAAACCTATGTACCAATGTTTGCAGCACCTTTATTTGTAGTTGACAAAAAATTGGAAGCAACTAAGATGTCCTTCAGTAAGTGAACAGATAAACAATCTGTGGTATGTCAAAATCCCAGCAAGTTATTTTGTAGATATCTACAAGCTGATTCTTTTATAGCGAGGCAGAAGACCCAGAATAGCTGACACAATACTGCAGGAAAAGAACACACAAGCTGGAGGACTGACACTACTCAACTCCAGTACTTCCTATAAAGCTACGGTCATCAAGATGGCGTGGTATTGGCAAAAGAATAAACAAGCAGATCAATGGAACAGAACATAGAACCTGGAAACAGACCCACATATATATAGTCAATTGACCTTTGACAAAGGAGTAAAGAGACTACAATGGAGGAAAGATATTTTTTTTTCAGCAAATGGTGCTGAAACAATGGACATTCATTTGCAAAAAAAGAATCTAAACATAGATCTTAAACCCTTCACAAAAATTACCTCAACATGCATCATAGACCTAAAAGTAAATTAAAAACGATAAAACTCTCAGAAGATAACAAAGGAGAGAATCCTAGATAACCTTGAGTATGGCAATAACTTTTTAGATACAATACCAGAGGCACAATCTATGAAAAAACTAATTGATGGGTTGGACTCCACTAAAATTAAAAATTTTTGATATGCAAAGACACTATAAACAGAATGAAAAGACAAGCCATTGACTGGGAGAAAATATTTGCACAAGACATGTCACTTAAAGGAATGTTATACGAAGTGTACAAAGAACTCTTAAAACTCAAGAATAGGGAAATGAGCAACTCAATTAAAACATAAGCAAAAGACCTGAGCAGGCATCTTATCAAAGAAGGCATACAGATGGCAAACAAACATATGTCATCAGGGAAATGCAAATTGAAACAACAATTAGATACGGCTACACACCTATTAGAATGCTGAGATCCAAAACATGAATACCAAATTCTGGTGAAGGATTTGCAGCAACAGGGACTCTCATTGTTGGTGGGAATGCAAAATAATGTAGCCACTGTGGAAGACAATTTGGCAGTTTCCTACAAAACAAAACATATTCTTACCATAAGATCTAGCAACAGAATGCCTTGATATTTACCCAAATAAGTTGAACACTTACATCCACACAGAAACCTACACACAAATGTTTATAGCAGCTTTATGCATAATTGCCAAAAACCTGGGAGCAACCAAGAGGCCTTTCAGTAGGTGACAGGGTAAATAAACTGTGGTACATCCAGACAAAGAAATATTATTCAGCACTAAAAAAGAATGAGGTGTTAAGCTATGAAAAGACATGGAGGGACCTTAAATGCATATTACTAACTGAAAGAATCAGTCTGAAAAGGCCACGTCCTTGGGAGGCCAAGGCGGGTGGATCGTGAGGTCAGGAGATCGAGACCATCCTGGCTACCATGGTGAAACGCTGTCTCTACTAAAAATAGAAAAAATTAGCCAGGCATGGTGGCGGGCGCCTGTAGTCCCAGCTACTTGGAGGCTGAGGCAGGAGAATTGTTTGAACCCAGGAGGCGGAGCTTGCAGTGAGCCAAGATCGCACCATTGCACTCCAGTCTGGGCGACAGAGCGAGACTCTGCCTCAAAAAAAAAAAAAAGAAAAGAAAAGGCTGCATCCTATGTGATTCCAACTGTGTGATTCTAAAAAGACAAAACTGTGGAGATTAGTGGGTTGACAGGGGTTAGGGGGAGAGAGAGAGTAATGAGGAGAGAGAGGGGAAGCACAGGGGAATTTTAGGACAGTGAAACTACTTTGTATGATATTATAATGGTAGGTACATAACACTATGCATTTATCAAAACCCACAGAACTATACAACATGAAGAGTGAAGCCCAATGTAAACTATGGACTCCAGTAACTCTTAGTATATCAATATTGGTTCATAAATTGTAACAAATGTACCATATTAATTCAAGATTCGAACAATAGGGGATATGGAGGGAGAAGAAGAGAATATATGGGAACTCTATACTTTTGACTCAATATTTTTGTAAGCCTACAACTGCTCAAATAAACAGCCTATTTACATACACACAGAGAGCTGAGCAACAGTCATATCCTTTGATCGAATGATTCCACTGCTGAGCTCTTCTTGAAATACAGGACATAGTAGGAGGAAAACTTTATTTACAGAAGGGGAAGAAAGTCAGCAACCTGTAGTTCATCACAAACAACCACATGGATAAAAGCAAATTTCAAAATGGTAGTTGAAAAGGTTATGGAATAACGTGGACAATGCTTGTGGAAAAATGCAAATGGAAAAAAAAATTGGAAATCACCTTAAGATAACATGTAAAAAAAAAAAAAAAAAGAAAAAAAGAAAAGAAAAAAACCCCAAAACAAAACAAAACAAAAAACCCTAATTAGCCAAGCTTGGTGACCGTTGCCTCTAGTCCCAGCTACTCGGGGGGGGGTGCTGAAGTGGGAGAATTGCTTGAGCCCAGGACGTCGAGGCTGTAGTGAGCCATGTTTGCGCCGCTGCACTGCAGCCTACGCAACCAAGTGAGACCCTGTCAACACTTGTATAAATGGACACAAATGGGGTACAGCACATTGGTAATGACAATTGATAGTATGTTACCAGGGGCATGAAATTAGGATAACTATTTTATTCATTTTTTTCAATTTCTTATAATATGTTTGATTTATCTTCTAAAAATATGTATGAGGTCTCAAATATATATATAGTCTACGAATCCTACAGTTAGGGGAAAAAAGACAAAAACCGGTAGTAAAGCCAGATGGCTAATAACAATAGCAGCACGTCCACCTCCTCCGTGACCATTTCTTAGGAACTCACTACGTGGAAGCCACTGTTCTTAGTACTAAGTTCTAACTAACCTGGGCTAACCCACTCAAAGCCCAGAGCTAGATAGCATGGGGTTGCTTACAAGCAAGTAAGAAACTGACCTCTGAACCACTGGCTTATTCAAAATATACTTATTGAGAACCCAGTAGAGTCACTAGGTGCTTCAAACATGCGAAGAAAAATGAGAAATAGACATTTAGAGAACAAGGATGGGAGGTTAAGAAACTACTTACTCACTCGCCTACTCAGCAAGCATTTATTTATTAATTCCTTACAAGAGGCTAGGCACTGAAGATACACATGATTCAATGTTATCTCTGGCCTTTGAGAACTACCACGCTACTCTCCTCAGAATCCTACATCTTCTCAACCTGGGACATTCCTAATTGTGGACAGGCACGCTCACCGTTTAAGAGACTAGGACCACAGGTGTAAACTGAAGCTCCACCAGCAACCCTGGACGTGTGATCACCCTAAGTCAGACTTGGAAGTGCAGCTCCTGGAGGGCGGCAACCATCCCCACGACCCCGCTCTGCTCATTCTAGTTCACTTGAACTGACTTTTAGGGTCAGGAAATTTATTTTTGTCTCTACCCCATCCACCAACCCCACACCACCAACCATTTCAGATCAAGTATCTGTGAATCATAGGCCAGGCTGATTCATTTCTTAAAGTTTCCGGGCTGTGAATGAAAATGGTATTGGTGGCTGGAAGGATGATAAACGCAGGGAACGTCAATGCGACTTGTTCTGCATTTATCTACCAAAATGCAAACCAGATCTGCCGGCATTTTATTAAAATGAGGAAGGCAGCTGCTGAAAAATTTGCAGTCAGAGAGGCTTGATACATGGAAACGATCACCATTCCTTTTATGTAAAAAACGAATGTATCATGTACACCTTCCTAATGACATTTTCTGTATTCGTGGTACTGCCTTTTTGGTTTATCTTAGTTAATGTGAAAAAATGCCCAGCGTGGGTTTTTGGAAGCTCCATTACAGATTCCGTGCTTATAAAATTATGGGTTATTTTTTCCATATGAAACAGGAAAAGGGAAATAAAAGAAATGTGGATTGAGCACCTATTGTAGAGTCTCATTTCACCTCCTGAAGCCTGAGCAGGTTAGAAAGCAGAGGCTAGGAGAGGCTTAGTCACCTACCCCAGCAAGCTCAGCAGCAGAAAAGCACCACAGACTTTGGTCTCCTTTGGTAGAAACCTGCTCAACCAGGGAACACTTAACTAAAGGGGTGTTCAGGAACAGAAACTCACAGTAGGGGCAAAAAACAAAGTTCTGGGACTAGGGGAACCAAAACCCCAGACACTTAGCTGGGCTATGCCTCCCACGTGGCTTCACACCCACTTACACTGACCTTTCACCTTCAGAACCGCATTGAGTCTGCTGTCCTGTGTGAAACACCCAGCAGGGAGCCATAACTCTTGCACTACATGGAAAGCCTGATTGGGCCCCCTAGGGAAACCCGCTGGCATCTGAATCAGATCCTGTGACCTCTGTGGTCCTGAGTCTCAAAGCAGGGGAATACCCTTTGCCGTGGATCCACCGCAAAGCCTCAGGGCCTAGGTGAGAAAATTTCACCTGTGAATCATGGTAGCTCAGCACCTTCTCTGGGCCTCTCTCAGAAGCCCCTGAAGGGCTTAGCATGTGTCACCAAGGGCCAGGACAGCTGCAAATCCTCCTGTGAAACAAGATTTCATGGGCTCTGTTGGTCTCTGAGGATGCTTCATCAATTCATAAGATGGCCTATTTGCAGGTGACAAGGCTCACAAATGCCAAATGAAACACTCATAAGTGAGTGTGGTTTTCAACTTTTCAGTGTCATTTTAGTGAATACCTGGCTCATTTGGAATTGTGGTGTCAATAGACGGAAGCCCAGAGAAGGTAAGTGACTTGCCTAAGAACACACAGGTAGAATTAAACAAATTTGGAAGTAGAATTCAGGGAACCACAACCTTTTTTCCCATCATCATACCACCTTGCTTAGAACAGAGACACACCTAAGCAAAAGAAAAATATATATATTCATTTTAACTGGATGGCAAAATAGTAGGAAAGAGGAGGAAAATCTAAAGACAATACATTCCTTGCCACTCATGGACTCTTTGAGACATTGTCTCAGCTCAGAGCTCTGGGCTGGAGCTTGGAGCTTTATCAGGAATTACCTTTCCCCACCCCAACATGTAGTGAAGGGTGAGCTAACAGGACACTCTTTATGTCAATCCTGGTGGCAGTGTGTAGACCCAGTTATTCAGTCTAAGAGCTTCAGGCTATGCACTGAGTCCATTGTGCAGATAAGAGAAGTAATGTCCCGGGAGAAGAAGTGATCTGCTCGAGGAAACCCAGCTGGCTTTGGGCAGAGCAGACACCAGATCACTGTGTCACAACACAGAGTGAGCGGTGGTCAACATCCCTCATCATCCAACCCTGTGGGGTTCCCAGAGCACAGGGCACTTCTCTAGACTGTGAGGACAAAGGAAACTCTGGTCCCTCTGGCAACCCTTCGAATTTTACACAATCTGTCTACTGCTTTGATATAATTTCTAAGGCAAGTGGCTCATTTTGATAAAATGAGTTGTAGCTATGAAAAGATAGCAGTGAACCTGTCTGGGTCTGTCAACTTACACGTGAGAAGGGATCTGGAAGTATAATGTATGGGAAAACAGATAAATAATTTGTGTATTTGGTCCAAATAAAAGGTGGTTACATCCACATGATGCAATAAAACAATGTAGCAGTTAAAAAGAACAGAGTGGCTACCATGGATAGCACTCCCCAATATATTGCTGAGTGAAAAGGGGTAAACTGCAAAATACTCTACCAGAGGTGTACACAACAGTACTCGGTGTGTATATGTGCATGCGTGTACACTTAAATGAATTATAGCAGTCTGCAAGAATGCGCTATAAAAGACAAGAAACGTGACCTACACAGAACTAATGAGGAGACAAAGATTGAGGATGGGTGAGCTAAAAGGACTTTGGCCTTACATGGAAAGTTTTTAATTTTTCCGAAATGAGTGCAATCATTTAATATTTATGTAATAAAAGTTTAATTTGTTTTAAAAAAGGAGAAAATAGAAATATAATTTTAATGATTCATCTATCTATTCCCTCACTATTTGAGCATCTATTATGTGCCAGGCATGAAAGAAGGTAAAAAAATCCAGCCCCTGCCCACAAGAATATGTTCTAACATAGAA